ACAAGCTTCAAAGGAGATGAAAATGATTTCTTATTAGCAACATTAAACATATGTAGTAGACTTAGTAGGAGAACAATTTTAATATTCTTTGATATCCAAAGCTTTGTATAAAGTCTGACGTAGTGTTTTTTTTGCGATTTTTTGTCTAATTTATCCTTAATTTAATCCTCAAATATGATAATAAATAAAATAAATAATGGTAATATGGTAGTTTATAGATTTAGTTGCAATATTTCACCCAAATGATTGAGCATGTTCCATTAATTTTGATTTAACATGCTGAACACTTTAGAAATTAGACATTTTTATTTTAAAAAAATATTCCAAATTATCAATCCAATTTGAAAATTCACAAATATTATACCTCCCAATTGAATGTAGGAATATATTTTTGAATTTTATGATAATCATGTTGAAGTTGTCTTGTACCATAGCTTGCTCAATTTTATTTAAACTGCATCGATTATTCATTATGGATTAATCCAATTTTTATGTCCTCTACTACATCTAGTCCACATGAGAATGCAATATTATGCTCTAATCTCAAATCTTATGGTCTTAATATTTCTTAATACAAATGTAGGATGCTATGGACAAACTCATGTATACAACCAATATCTGTGGTTTGCTAACATTTACTTTGGACAAAGGATACAAATCATTCGGCCAAACAATAACATAGTAATTGTCCAAATACAAATCATTAGGCCAAACAATAACATAGTAAGATGATCACAGTTCACACCACAATAATAATTTTAGTTTGTAGTTGTTTTGACTAAAAATCAATCATCTTGTAAAATAAATCAAAAAATATATAGAAGAAAAATATTGAAAGAAATCAGTAGAATAAATCCCTCCTACTCATATAACTCGTGGAAGAATTTCTCCTATAAATCTTCTTGTCCTTAAATACTATTTTCAAAATGAAGTTATTAATGCGTGTGTTAACGGGTGGAATATATAAGTTTTTGTGGTGTTGAACATAAAAATAATGCAAATGGACATTTAAAGCAGCACTATTCTTGGATTATATTATCCCCTTTCATAATAATCATCTCATTCTATTTTGATATGGTTGATTATTGATTTTGTTTGCTTTGTGCGTATTTTGTTGAAGGGAAAGGTGATAATAACTGCACTCCCTGGAGAGAAGTTGGAAGTTCCTGATGATGCAGTGATAGAAAACAAGGTATATTACTAAACCCTTATAATTTCCAATTTTCAGCTCAATTGTTGCTGACTCTCTCTCTCTCTCTCTCTCTCTCTCTCTTGTTTGCTTTCCCTTAGGAGATCAAGAGCTCTGAGGATATCTAAGCTTTATATGGAGTTTCCAATGGCAGTCATCTACTCATTAATGGTAATAATAATCAATCATGTATAAACCCTGAGAAGCTACAAAAAATTCTCATGCTTTTACTGCAATTTAAAGATATATTCACCTTTCCTTTTTTCAATGATGAGCATTACGAACCCTTTTTTTTTTTTGTTTGTCTTCATTATATTTTCTACGCTTGCATTTTAGATTTTAGTGGTGCAACAACACTTGTCAAAGAGGTTATTTCATTGGAGTGATTTTGAATGTAATGCATTTTAAACGCTTGAGTTTTAAGTTTTGAGTGCTTGGTTGATAGTGAAGTATATTCAAAAAATTTTTTTGAGAAATTTGAAATTCATGGCTTAATTTTTTTCTTTTTTTTTTTGGTGTATTTCT